CAGGTGATCTCCATTTTCAGGCAAATTTAAAGATGAGTGGCTTGCCCACGGTGACACAGCTAGCGGGCGGTAGGGCTGAGATGGAGGTGCACGTCCAGGCGCCTCTACTTGCTTAGTGGGAAGGGAAGGCACCTAGCCCAGCGTTGGAACCTGCAGCCCCAGTGTCCCTCAGCGTTCTGTGTTCACTGCCATGTGTGGTGCAGCTCCTCTGTAGGAAGTGGCAAGGCCAGGCACATGGACCAGCAGCCACAGCCGTTAAGAGAGGACCAAGGTAGCCACATGGTCTCTAGGAACCCAGCATGTTTGATAAGGCCCCCATAGAAACAGGCATTGGATCTGTCGTGGTGGGTCATCAGGCTCTGGGTAGGGGTGAAAGGGCTCCCAGGGACCACTTATTCTAATCCCACCGAGGCTAAGGAAGAGGAGGCAAGTCATCAACAGCCCCATGGCTGGTGCTGACGCGGGCGTGGCCTCTTTCTTCTCTGTCCCTTGCCTAGGTCTGCTTCAAGTACTTCTGCCGGAGCTGCTGGCACTGGCGGCACAGCATGGAGGGCCTGCGCCACCACAGCCCCCTGATGAGGAACCAGAAGAACCGTGATTCCAGCTAGAGAAGCTGGCCTTGCCCAGTGGCCTGTGGCGCCCAAGGCTGGCTGGGGGGGCAGCAGCCTGTACCACCTGCCACTGGCGACCAGGAAGCTGGCTTCCCGAGGACAAGGGAAAAATCGTAGTCACCTTTGCACTTGCTGAATCTGTCTTTGTTTCTGCACTAATTAATGCACAATGAGTTTTGTCGGGTTTTGTTTTCAGGGGGTGTGCCAGGGCAAGGACCCTCTGGCTCACCCTCCAAGCGACTCTGTAGTTTTCCCAGATTTTAGTTCCTCATTTTGCCGATGAAAAGCAAAAAAGAATGACGTGTCCAGAAGGTATTGACACGGATGCCTACATTTAGGTTTATTTATTAAAAGCGCTTTTTTACATTCCTTGCAATACTGATGGTGATGATGTGCAGGTCATTGGTTTCATTCTTGCAGTTGCCATACAGTGCCTTTCCATTTATTTAACCCCCACCTGAACGGCATAAACTGAGTGTTCAGCTGGTGTTTTTTACTGTAAACAACAAGGAGACTTTGCTCTTCATTTAAACCAAAATCATATTTCATATTTTACGCTCGAGGGTTTTTACCGGTTCCTTTTTACACTCCTTAAAACAGTTTTTAAGTCGTTTGGAACAAGAGATTTTTTTCTTTCCTGGCAGCTTTTAACATTATAGCAAATTTGTGTCTGGGGGACTGCTGGTCACTGTTTCTCACAGTTGCAAATCAAGACATTTGCAACCAAGGAAAAAAAAATTGTTTTGTTTTATTTGAAACTGGACCGGATAAACGGTATTTGAGCGGCTGCTGTATATAGTTTTAAATGATTTATTGCACCTTCTTAAGTTGCACTTAACGTGGGTGGGGAGGGTTGATAGAAGTTTTTAATCACAAAGTCACAGGACTTTTTCTTTTGTAACTGAGCTAAAAAGGGCTGCTTTTTGGTGGGGGCAGATAAAGGCTCACAGGAGCCCTTTCTCTGAGAGGGGGCAAGTACCCTTCCTTTATATTTTCCATTTGAGGAATGTATGAAACAACAGTTGCAGTTGACTGAAATGCTACTGGAATTTGAAAACTTGACTTTTTTTCCTTTTTTTTTTTTTTAAAGAAAAAAAAATAAAAAAAAAACAAACTACTTGCCCCTCTTAGGGAAGCTGTGTGCCAAAGAACCAGTGTCATACCCCCCCTCCCTGCTGAGCTGACGTTGCATTGTTGCATATCCCAGCTACTCTGTGGGTTTTGTGAAGCTGTGTGTGAAGTCTCTACCTCATTGTAGTATATGCAGGCAAGACTGCACTCTCCTACAGATGTGTGGAGTAAGCTGTGGTGTAGTTTTTTTGGCACATAATAAACACGTTGCAGCAGAGTTCTGGCTTTATCACTGTCGGAGGCGTGGGAGCAGGGGGTAATGGGCTGACAAGATCTGAGTAAAAACTCAGGTTCCCTTGGATTTTCTGTGGTGGACGCCGGCCCAGGATGATGGAGGGACAGTGTAGGAGACCGGTCCCAGGAGTACTTCTGATCACTCCCACAGTTGAGTGGACTTCGGAGATGTCTATGCAGTGGGTGGGTGCTTCTAGCTTGAGTATAAAAAGCTTTTCATGTCCAGCTGGGGCTGCCCCAGAGCCAGCTTAGAGAACGCCGGAGGCACAGATGCTCAGGTGCCAGCAAGCGCCCCTAGTTTTGTGTCTCTTGTAAGCCTTGGCCTGTTTTTTTTTTTTTTTTTAATATTTCACTTAGATAGATAGATAGATAGATAGATAGATTTACTTATTTATTTATTTAAATTTGACCAGAGAAGGACAGAATGAGAGAGAGAAGGAACGTGGGAAAACAAGCCACCAAGTCTGGGACTGGAACTGCAGTCAGTCAGGTGGGAGTCCAGTACCCTTAACCACCACGCCACCTGCCGGCCCCAGCCTGTTTCTTTTTCTTGGGAGGCTGCTTGTCCTTTTGGACTTGCCTGTGCTGACACAATTCCTTTTTGAGAGAGAGAATTTACGTTTTGCTCTTCTTCAGAGAGCCCAACCACCTCCCGGGCTCCCAGGATTTGACAGGGTCTTAGGGTTTTTCCAGGTAGGTGTGCTTGGGCCCAGCTATTGGACTGATCCTTTGGGAGAGACCACTGTGTAGCCTAGGGGAGGGAACCCCGCACACTGAAGCACCTCTTCTGTTTAGTGCAGGCACCCACTGTGGGGTGGTGGAGTTGAGAATGAGAACTAGAGGCCTCATCTTTTTTCTAGGCCTGGCAGTGGCTTGATGGAAGTTTGCTGGTGAAGGGAACGCCTGCAGCTCTTCCCAGATGAGATGCCTCTTGACTCTTGTTCTGTAGAGAGGCATCTCTTCAGCCCACTTCCTTCCATTCCAAGTGCTATTATCAGGGCCAGAGCTTCCTGTCCTTCCTTCCATGCTTAGTCAGTTGGGTCTGAATGGAGTGGCCAAGGTGAGATCTGAGGGGGTAGACTCAGGGCCCAGCGTTGCCTCCAACTTGGCTAGTCCAGCCTTTGGGGAAATCAGGTGGTGCCCGGGACTCCATTCAGCCCAGCAAACAAGAGTTAGAGGCAGGGGGCAGTGCCCTACCTAGGTTGGAAGGCCCCTGAGGGCAGCCTGCCCGGTCGACTTAGGAAGGGCCTGATTTGGGGACTATGTTGGCAGGAGCAACCTGAAGACAGAGGCTGGTGCAGAAGGCACCTTCACTGCTGGGATCTCTGCAGGTGGCAAGGCCCTGCCTTTATTCACTTGGGTATTTGAGAGTTTGCTCATTGCTAGGCGCTGTTCAGGCCCTGGGGAGTAGCTAGACAAAACTAGTTTACTGTCATGGAGCTCATCCCAAGTTGTCACGGGGCAATGTAAAATAAGGGACAGCCGCTTTGAAGCGATACAGAGGGGAGCCGGCGGGGAGGGGAAGTGGGGAGAAAGTCCCTTTGGTAAGATGTAAGAGCAAAACTCCAAAGAAGTGACATAAGTAAGCCTCTCCCAGTCGCACGCTGTCCCCGCCTGCGTAGACTTGAAAGTGACCCGTGGTCGGGGTGGGGTCCTAGACGGGGCGCCATCCCCTTTTTTCTCACTTCCCCATGATCCTGCTTCGCCTACCTCCTTCGTCATCCTAAAGGAGAGGCCTCCCCTTCTTTCCCGGGCGACTGGATGGGCCTCGGTAGTGCGGAGCACGTGGAACCGGCGATCGGGTTACTAATGCGGTCTGGCTGGGCGCCACCGGGAGCCACACCCATAGGGGCGGGACCGGCGCTCGCCCCGCCCCCTCCGGGAGCGC